CCAAATTAAAATTATTATCATCATTAAAAAAAACACAAATCATAAACTTGGTTTGAAGGATAAAAGTGAAATCCATAAAACTTTGATAAAAGGGCAAATATAATTAAAAAAAATGGAAGGATTGGATCAAAATACCATACACATACAAATTAAACACCAAGAGTTAAATTGAGAACAAATAAAACTTTAACAAAAGAAAAAATAATTAAAAAATATTAATCAAAACTAAAAGATCTGAATCTCAAATAACAATAATAATAAGGATTATAGTGTATTTACTGGGGTAAGAGAGAGAAATGAAAGAAAAAGAAATATCATTGGCGATATACTAGCTACATTTAAAAAACACGCGCCATCTATAACAAAAGAGGAGACGATAAGGAATAAACTAAAACAACAAAAGCTCATTTTTGATTGCCAGAAACTATCACATGTACCATCCAAAATGTGTGGCAGCTTCAACGCGCTAATAGTTTTTTAAATATAAAATAATTATCTTAATTTTAAATTAAATTACTACTCTCAACCAAACTTACAATTAACAAAAAAATTTGAAGTTAAAAGACTCAAATGTCCATAACTACAATGAATTCAATGTCTTGCATTTAAGGGTACGAGTGTAATTTTACTTCATGTAGAAAAATAAAAATACCTAAATATCCCTACTCGAGACCATTTATTCTTTTTACTCTTGGAGGTATTCTGGTTATTTTATTATTTATTAAAATATTGAATAGACAAAAATATCTTATATACGTCAATAATAACTAATGCACAATATAAAAATACCAAAATAACCCTAGTTTAAAAGCATGTATTGTTTTTATGGAAAGAACAAAATAGTCCTTACACTACAATGGTGAATAAAACAAACGTGAGAAGGGCTACAATTATTCCTCCTCCTTTTTTAGTTGCTTTTTAATATATACTCAACAACCAAGAAGAAAATCTATTACCTGTATGATCTACCCTTGAACTCAGCTGTTTTTGTCACAGCAAATCTAATTAATCATGGGTTATTTGTTTATTATTTTCCCTTCCTGTTGGTGTTGATATATATATATATATATATTAAAAAATTATGTCAATTTCACTTTCTTTTGACTTCTTTATGTATTATGTTTGGTTTTTATTTTTTTAGTAAATTTTAAAAAATAATAACATGATGAGAAATATTATTAAATAAAATTTAATTTTTATGAAAAAGATTTAAAAATTATTGGTGGGAAACAAACTCTACTTAAATGATATTGTATTGGTCGGAGCGTGTGCACAATATGACAAAGGCCCTTGTCCCATCTTTCAGATCATATTATGGGATGAAACCAACGCATTCCTAACCCAACATCCAAGGAGAGAAAACAACAAAACAAGATGGAACTAATTAGACATGACAGACATCTTGTGCCCACCTTAGGAACTGGAAATATCTAGCTCTACCAACAGAAAAACCACATGAACCGTCAGAATTTAATTAAATAAAATACCAATGCCTCCTCCTATTTCTTTTCATCATTATTTTTATTTAATCGAGGATATCTTTTGATGTGTGATAAATATTGATTTTTTAAATATTTTTATTTAAAAATAGATTAAAGTTTCTATTTTTTAATTTATTATTGACATCATTATATTAAAATAATTTTAAAAAATCAATTTAAAGTTAAAAAATAAAATTTAAAGTTTTTTAAATGCGTTATTAAATTGTAATACCAAACAAAACCTAAGTTATTTTTTTAATAAAAAAACTAATTATTTATCTAGACTTGTAAGAAACTACATGCATCACATTTGCAAATACTCACTTGATTGGTTTATTTTTATATTTAAAATTATATTTGAGTATGTTATATATATATATATATATATATATATGTGGCTTGAAGAAATATTATATTAATATTTTTTAATATTTTGTAATGATTTTAATGAACTCCTATCAAAATAAAATAAAAATTATTTGGTGGCTATGCAAGCCAACTATTTGGAGTTAATACAGGAATTTCAATCCAACAAAGAAATTGGAGACACCATAATGGAATACTAACCTTAATGCATCTTGATTCGTTCCTTTTAACTTGGCTCGTGACTTTTCTAATTACTATGCAACCAAATGATTATGACTTCATAACTGACCTTCGGTAGTAAACAACAGTACAAATTACTGTTTCAATTACTATAGATTTACAGCAGTACAAATTATCGTTTCAATTACTATAGAAATAAAGTCTTAAAGGCTGTGTGGTTTTCAAGAATTAAAAGAGATGTAATGATCAGAAAGTTAACGAGGAGAAGAACATGCAATGAGAAAGTCTAGAACTGAGACTTTACTTGATGGTTTATGGATACTTATATACCTATTAGCCACGCCTACTTGTATGGACACAATGATAAAATTGGAAAAATATTGTAATACCAAGTTTAGTAGATGATTTAAGATAACAGTCCCTTATGATTAATGATGCACTGCTAAGTGGAAATGGTAATGTTATTGATGGTGTTTATATTATATAGTTAATTGGATTGGTTATATATGAATTTGATTTTTGTTCATGTAAAAACATGTTTGTTATTTATAAAAATATTCTTTATTTTTAATATTTATTTATGTTTGATTAATGAGTTTACAATAAATATAAAGTTAATGCGATAAAAATATTTTGTAAAGAAAATTATAAAGTTGTTATAATTATGAGATTTATATTGCATTTATATGGTTGATGTTCTATCAAAACTATATATTAATTGAAGTCATTAAGATTTTTATATATATATATATATATATATATATCATGTTCATTTATATTCATTTATTGAAAGAAATAGTTATTCTCACACGTTGAGATATGAGGGGAATATCTAGAAAAATATGTAAGTAAATTTTAGTTGATATATACAATAAATTAACCTGCATAAAAATTTTATATGAAGAGATAAAATTACTAAATTATTTTATATAAAAAATATTATGTTTTTATCTTGAAAATATATTGTCCTCATAAATAATAACAAATAAGTAGATATGATGTATAACATTCAATATATGAAAGTATATGGATGATTAAGAGATGAATCATTATCCCAAGTAAATTAAGGATAATGTTTCACTTGTTATCGAACAGTAACAATTATGAAATTATTTCATAAGGTGAAATAAGATTTGAAAAAAATTCAAGATCTTATTTAGTTTGATAGAGTAAAACATTTCGATGAATGAATAATAATAACACTGAGAAACTAGTTACTAAAAAATTAAGTCAAACCATGTAATACTTTCCTAATATTAGAGGGATTAACTTAATCTTCAAATATAAATTAATTAATTTGTTAAATTGATAAAAAAATGTTTAATTTATTTAATATTTTTTTATTTAGGATTATGATTTATATTTGGACCAACTTATTATGAACCTCACAAATTACATATATTAAGAACCATTTGTCAAAAATTAAACTTAAATAATAAGATTAGTAAATGTGACTTAATCGAAAATAAGTTTTATAAATTAAAGACTAAATTGTAATTAATACATGGATTACAATCTAGACCTAGAAAAATTAATTAGGAATTTGATTGAATAATTTTTAAAATTATCTTAAAATAATATATGTTATATTTTTTAGGCAGGTAAAGTAATATTTTATCATTAAAAGGGTTATCATATTTTCACTATAAATAAACTACTATGCCTTATGTTCTTTGGTGTAAGCTTTGATTCGATAAGATAAAAAAGTATTTTATAGAACATATGGTATAAAAACATATGAAAACACAAAAATAAAGAGTGAGAACTCAAAAACATAGCAACCTCTCTCTTCTAGATGGATTTTAAAAGTTTTTCACTAATAATTTACGTGAATTACTATTAAAAATCAAATATATAAATAATTTATGGTTTGTGATACTTAATCTTGAAAAAGTTGATCAAACTTTAATTTTTTTTTTTTAATCTTAAAGTAATTTTTATATAAATTCCAGACGACCCTAAATTGTTTAACAAAATTCTTAAAAATCCTAAAACATATTTAAAATTATTATTTTCATTGCATCTAAAAGTTTTGAAAAACCCAACAATTACATAGGTTATCCACTAAACATAGACATGCTCTAACATGGTTTTGCGAGCCTAATTATGACAAAAAAAAAACCATAAGCATTTAACGTTTAATATTAAATATAATAGTGAAAGTAGTTTGATGCGAAGGTATGTTTATTTATATGTGTGCCTTGATATATGTCTATCCTTCTATCAAATTTTATAACATTGTGTTGTTTTGTTGAGCTATGTAGACACCTCAAACTCAATTTGAAGATTAGTGTGTTATTAGCTAGTTAAGTTAATTTTGAATTATTCTTTTTAGATTTAATGGATCAATAAATTAATTGATATGTTCAAATCTGAAAAAAATGTAATTTATATTTAGGTTTGGTGAATTGATATAAATAAATACAAATTAATTTAATATATCATTATTTTAATATTAAAAAAATAATCAAAGAAATTAAATAGCTCCCAACAATACATACATGATTATCTATCTTTGTATATAATTATATAGATAGCCTGGGTTTTACCAAAAACACCACTTCTTCTAAACATGCTTGCAACCCAGTTTGTACAAGCTGGGGAAAAAATTGTGCAGTTACAGTGTTACACCACAAATAGATGGCACCTGGCAGTTATATAACGCCCACTACTTGGCTTCAACCCCAACAGACCCCCTTTTGGACTGAAAAAAGAAGTGGAAATGAGATCTTCGATGTTGGATTATTTATAGTAATTGAAAAAAATTAAAAAATCTAAGAAAAACAAGTTTAAAAAGTGAGTGAGAGACTGAGAGAGAGATGAATAAATTATTGCAATAATATTCTTGTACGTACAGTGAGTGTCCAAAAGATTTGCATGAAAGCTCGTGCTTATTGGTTACTGGCGTGTAAATCCATTACACTTGGATGCATTTATTGCCCCCTCCCCCCCACCCCTCGCCCACCCCTCGTCCCCCCTCCCCCCCCCTCTCTGTCTGCTTTCTTTTTGTTTGTTGCTTGAGATTTTACAGAAATGGCTCTTAGCAAATGGGGTTTCTTTGCTTCTGTCTGAGACCTAAGTTGTTGCTTGCTTCCACTTCTTAGTACGCATACCATCTAATCTGCCTCTCAAAAATTGTATTTTACAGGATATTCCAGTTTTGACTCTGTTTTTCTTTTTTTTTCTTTTCTGTTTTGTTATCTTGGTTTCTTCGCTGTGTATTTATGGTTTATTTGGTCACTATCTTTGTACTCTAAGACGGGGCTCATTTTATGCCTTGTATATTTTTTATTTTTTATGCATAGAACTGTCTTCTGTTCATGTATTTTCACTTCCTTTTCTTGTATTTTCCCTTTATTTGGTTGGTGTTTAATTGATCTTTATAATATGATGATGATGATCTTATTCTAGGATTTGATATTTGGCAATTTCAAGTTTTTTCTTAAAAAGAAAAGAAAAGAAAAGGAAGTATCTGTTCTGCTTCATTTTTTCTGAGAAGATTTGGTTGACGAAGCTGAGATTTTTATGCTGGGGGATTGTGTTTTACGATGGAAAATTATTTGGTGATATATAATTTGTAGGAGTTCTGTCCATGTATATTTTTAGTATTTTTATGGGGTTGAATTCACCAGAAATCTTGGAGAGGATTTTGATTAAAAATTTCAACTTGCAGGAATTAGTTTGAACTACTGTTGGGATAAAGACGATTAACGCAATCACAAAGGTCATTGCAGAGGGAATTTAATGACAATGAAAGTCAAAGAACATGAAGGAATTGTCCATAATCCAAGTGGGCAGTTGTCAACAGTGCCATGGTGGACTGCATTTGGGTCACAAGCTGTTACTGGTGAATCGTGTGGCCTATTGAGGGCTTTACCTGTAGAACAGCTTGCCACTGGAGGTGAAGCTGCGACTAAGCAGGCCAGGATGAGTACTGACCAAAGGCTAGATAAAAGGAATATTACTCAATTCACTATATTTCCAGGTAAATCTTTCTCCTTTTTTATGGTTTAGAATTTTTCATAGATGTATTTCTGATTTATTTGTTGCATTTCTTTTGTCATTAGTTACAAAATTCCAGCTTCAAAAGGCATAGAAAAACTGTGTTCTGTTTAACCTTTGGATTACGGCTGTATGCACCAGAAAGTTTTAGATACTGTCTTGAATTACAAAATTAAACAAATTTATAATGATTTTTTTCCCAAAATTGATTGATATAAGAGTGACATTAGGGTTAATAAAGTTGTTTCCCAAATGAGGACACAGAACTTAGCCAGTAATTAATGGTCAAGTAGGATATAAGGTTAACTTTCAGTTTTCATTCACAGTAATGGGTGTGCCAAAATGTTGGAAGCGCAAGTTTGTTTGGAATCATCGTACAAGTCAAATTAGATAAAGTAGAGTGATGAGTGTTATGGTAGATTGATCCATATTTTTGTAAAGAATGGCAGTTAGTTTCTGTCTAGGCATGGTACATAAGGCATATCAATGTGCAAACAATGAACATTCGTACTAGAATCCAGAGGAAAAAACACTTGAACAAGCTGGAAAATTTTCTGGTCAAATGTGTTGCAGCCATATAGCTCTGAACGGTGCCCAAAACTTGCTATATTTTTGGAGGATTTTCATAATGAAATGGATAAAATCATGAAAGTAGTTCGTGTACAATTTAGGAGGCAGCAATGTCTTGGCTGTGCTTGATGCTAGATGAACTTGGGGATAAAAGAATATCTTGAAGATTTCTTTCTCCTATGATAAGGAATAAACTGAGGTAACATGAAAACAAGATTGATGATAAACTAATCAAATGCGTGCCAGGAAATAAATGGACTGTGTCCTGATGCATTTAGTTTTGTTTGCATCGACAAATACATGTATCGCCAATGGGAAGAAATTGTAATCAATGATGATTGCATCTCAAAGCCATTTTTTGGCATGAAGATGCGGAAAGCAGCACAGAAATGTTAGCTTGAAATAGGAAGTGCTCGACTGGCCTAACTTGTCTTCATCTTTCATGCCCAACAGACAAGTTGGTATCATAAGTTAGAGCATTTTTCTCTTATTCTGTCTAGTAGTCCTCATTTGATGAAGTAATGGATGAATTCTTCCTGAAGGATTAGATATTTCTTCCTAGCATTTTATATTTTCCAGAACCTGTTCAAAGACTATCTTCTTCCCATTTGATATCAGATATCTTCAATGCGTATCTAGAACTTCTGCTGAGTTATTTTGATCCATTAATATGAAATAAAGCATCACAGACGACAGTTCTGGACCTTCTGGTCCCTAGTTGACGCATCAGCCAATTAGGTTCCAATCTATCTACAAATTTTTTTCTAGGTACTTCCAATATGACTATCTGTTAACCAACCAGGTAATTTCTCATTCAGGTGACTGCAAAACTTCTGGTGACGGACAGAAAAATCTTCAGGCAGCCATTTCATTGCAAACAGCTCTGCCAGAGTATCGTGCTCATTTTGACATGGGATATGGTCAGCCTGTGGTGAGAATTTTGTTTCCGTTTAGGTTTTATATAGCCAGTATTCAAACCTGATTTATAGTAGCTGATGGCTAATGGTTTGCACGTTGATAAAACTATAGATTTGCACAAAGTATCCTCTTGTGGATCAATGTTACGGAGTATTCTCAACTTTTGGACCTCAAATTTCGGTTTGTGTTTCTTCTCACGAGTGAAATTACATCTTTTGCAATTACATTTACTCATGTGAAGCAAAATACTTGGCATACTAATCTGTAATCTACTGATAGTAATGTGGTCCGCCACTCCCATCATACCCCTAAGAAAAATCAGAAAAAAAACCTGTGCCATAGATTATAGTGACAATATACCCTTTTCATATTTGAGTTCTCTTTTATTGTTGAAGACAACCAGCAACAAGTAGAATTCTTGGAAATTAACTAATTCTATGCTTATTCATAATAATGTAGGGCCGAATTATGCTGCCGATGAGCATGACCGCAGATGATGGACCTATATATGTAAATGCTAAGCAGTACCATGGAATTATGAGGCGTAGAAAGTCCCGTGCAAAAGCTGTGCTGGAGAATAAATCGACCACCAGTCGTAAGGTATTATCTCTTGATGTGGTAGCTCATCTTGCACTTCCTATAGGACTTGAAACTTCACATCATATGAGAGAAAAAAAGGGCAGACAAATAAAATCTTTCAAGCAACCAATGTCCCAAATCTTTCCCCTTGTACATTAGTTCAAGTTTGCAATTCAAGGCAGGCTTTGGTATCTTCCCTTTGGAAAACATTTGACTCAAACTGACAGGTTTGTCAATGCAATACATAAGTATATCTCTAAATTAGCGACCACGGTTAATCCATGTTTGAGATATTATGTTGGCTTAAATGAGTGTCTGATTAATTCATTAGCCTGGTTCTTATTATGTTTTGTATTGGAGATTCAAACATGCTCTCAATCTGCCACTAAAGGCTAGTGGCAAGACTCTTGTCTCTTGAAAGAAATCCCTCTCCGCATTCTGGCTCAATAACCAAGTTTTTTTCTGCTGACAGCCCTATATGCACTATTCACGCCATCTCCATGCAATGCGCCGACCAAGGGGATGTGGTGGCCGTTTCTTGAATACAAGAGAGTTAAATGAAGGAAAAGGGACAATGGAGGCAAAGAAAGCTGGTGATTTTCAACTTTCTCAGGCAACTGTTTCTCAGAATTCTGAAGTCCTGGAATCAGTTGGAGCAACTTTGAACTCCTCAATGGAAGCAAATGGTGGTGGATCGATTCTCTCAGGGTCAGAAGTGACTAGCATGTACAATAGGGGAGAACTTGACCTCCTTCAGATCAATCATCTTGGGCCGACTTTCCATAGTTTCTCAGGCATGATGGACAGAAGGCATGGCATTGTTATGCCAAGTAAGTGGGTTGCAGCAGCTGACAACTGCTGCAACTTAAAATAGCAAGGGAACAAAAATCGGGTTGGTGCTTGTTCCTTGAACTAGACCAGACCCCACCCTTGCAGGAACCTGCAACCTAATTATGGCTTGAAGTTGGACTTCACCATTGGTTGTTAGGGCAAGTCGTTCTTGGCTCTAGTGCATTAATGTCATCTATTGCATTCCATACAACCTTGCTGTCATGGGATGGTTAGAGGTGCTAAATCCTTAATGCATTGTAAATATTTTAGCTAATGGACAAGATAATAAACGTGTGTAAAGGCTACCCTAAATTATGTTGAAGAATGATTCATGCTCTTGGGCTTGCTATCTACTCCATGGATTCCTAATTGTAAGAAATAACTATGTATTTGTGTTGTCTTAAATATTTCTATTATTATAAATTTCATCCCATTTTATATCTGCAAATTGATGGAACAGTACTATCGAAACAAAAGCATAAAATAGCATTTAGCACCTTTTCTTGGCATGGCAATCTAGTCGGATGAAATTGCTAGAGTGATACGGGGAGAAACGAAGGTGGGCAGCTGTGGAGAAATTCTGGTCCATGCTCAGTAACAAGAAGACCCAAACCCAAAGGGCCGAAACCAATAAATGCAAATAAAAAACCTTATCTTTCTAACTACTCCAAAAAAATCATCAAAACATATTTCAAACCCTCCATTCCTTGTCAATTTGTCTCACAGAATAACAATGTCAGCTTTCTCCGTGGCAGCTTCAACTATAACTTCCTCTCCATTGCACACAAAGCTCTCAAAACTCTCCTTCACTCACTCACAACTTCCAATCCCATCCTGCTTCTTATCAAAACCCTTCCTTAAACCTCTAAAACCCCTAAAACTCAACAGCCAAAACTCCAATTCCCTCCTTCTACTCTCCATCGCTCCTTCCCATGGTACTTTTGCTGCCTCTTTTGACAATTTTGAAGTTGAAACAGATGAAAACATCACAGCTCAAGATGACTCACAAAGTGAAACAGACGAATTTGACCAGGAAATTGTAGAAGAAGAAGGAAATGTGGGGGCGATCAAAGCAAGAGAAGAAGGGAAGCTTTATGTGGGCAATTTACCATATTCCATGACCTCTTCGGAATTGGCTGAGGTTTTTGAGGCAGCTGGTCGTGTTTTTAGTGCTGAGGTCTGACTTCTTTTGTCTTATCGTTACGTTCTGAATGTTCCTTTTTTCATTTTCTCTGTCTATGGAGCATTAGACAAAGGAATAATGCTTATGATTCTTCTTCTTTTTTTTGGGGTGGGGTTTTAAGGTTATTTGCGATCGAGTTACGGATAGGAGCAGGGGCTTTGGTTTTGTTACAATGGAAAGTGTTGAAGAAGCTAAAGAAGCTATTCGGATGTTCAATGGATCAGTAAGTGACTTCCATTTTTTCGGTTTGAGCTTTGTCTATGATTTCGAGTGCCCAAACCATGCCAAATTCTTAGTTTTGCACTGATATGATGTGTTATGGGGTTGTTTAAGTGTATGTTGAAGAGGTGGATAATGCTTTTTTCTCTAATCGATTGTGGTTAGAGTTAATTGTGTTTTGTGTCAACGAAATTAGAAGTCCATTTTGTTCACTTACCAGTTGTCTGTATTTCGACTTCTGTTGTCATTGCATTGAGCTGGTGCAAAACCAATCACGTGTTATTGCCATCTCTGCGAACTGCTAAAAACGAAATGTAAGTTGGCTTCAAATTAATTTTCAGATGGTAAGCAACTTGTTCTGAGATGTAGTCCAATTCTGATCATGATTTTAGCTGTCAACTGCATCTGTGTTCGGTCTTTATCTGAATAGAAAGAATCCAAGCTCTGATTGGTGGTGTTAGGAAATGCTTTGTCAACTAAAGAGTGTCTTTATGGAAGTTTTGTCCTGAACATAACTGAGCTCCTATCCTTGTCCCAAACATTGTTCTTTTTTAATTCTTCATGTGTGTACTTTTCTAGATGCGTGTTATCAAAGGTGATAATCATGTTTATATTTGACTGCTGCTAATTGAGTACTGTATGAGAAGATGAAAAATGGTGACAATGATTTTGGTGATGTTTGACAGCAAGTTGGAGGTCGAACTTTGAGGGTTAACTTCCCAGAAGTACCAAGGGGAGGTGAGAGGGAGGTAATGGAGCCAAGGATACGGAGTGGCTACAAGGGCTTTATAGACAGTGAGCACAAGCTATATGCAGGAAACCTTGGATGGCGCCTCACTTCTGAAGGTCTTAGAGATGCGTTTGCCAACCAGCCAGGCTTATTAAGTGCCAAAGTCATCTACGAGAGAGACACAGGGAGATCTCGTGGTTTTGGCTTTGTCTCCTTTGAATCTGCAGAGAATGCAGAAGCTGCTTTAGAAGCCATGAACGGAGAGGTAAGACCTGAACTGGTTGTTGCTTTTGCATGCTTGAATTATTTTGCTTGTCATCCAGTGTTTTGATCAGCTGATATGTAATTGTAACAGGAGGTTGAAGGACGGCCTTTGCGATTGAATTTGGCTGGAGAAAGATCCTACCCTCCTCCGGCTAAGGAAAACAACACAGAAAACAATCTTGAGAGCAGTGAATTGTTGTCCAGCATTGGAGCCTGAGAGAACCATGGTAATTCTGTGGGTGCTTAAGTTTTCTGTTAGATGGAGCACTCTGAGAAGATATAGCCATCAACTTCCAAATCTTTTGACTATATGGACCTCTTTTGTTCTTGTGTTTTCCTCCATAACTGTAGACAAGCCACTTGGTACAAAATCCGTAGAATTTGAATAGGCTGCAGTCCTTTGCTGTGCAATTTGAGTATTGTGGCTTGGATAGTAAAAAATTTAAATAGTGCAAATTAACCTTTAAGACTATTTATATAAAAAATAAAACATCTTAATATATTTTTTAATTATTTTAAAACAAATTCAAATCTTCAATTAAGCGTGACAAACAAAAGGTTATAGGTTTGAGAGCTCTGAGACATGTCTATTTTCTAAATTCTAAATATTCTAAATTGTGATAGATGGTATTTCATCTATTTTTTTAAAAAACAAAATAAAGGTGGGGACAGGGTTGACCCTTTACTGGCTTTTTTTTTATACTCTAAAAAAATATTTATCAGATTTATTTACTCTTTAATTTTATTTAATTGAAATTGGTTATTTATTATTAGAATATTTAAATAAATTTAAAATATTATTTTATTATATTTATGATTTTTTAAGTTTTTATTCATATAAAATAGATATATAATTTTTATCTTAATAATCATAAATTTTTTAAAACAAAATTAATACTTGTACGTTAATAAAAAGATTTATAACTATAAATAATAATATTGAAATTTCCCATGAATTAAAAATAAAAAATGAAAAAAATCCTTTCCGTGCTTTATGGTGAATCAAGAAAAGTGCTTTATGGTGAATCAAGAAAACAAGCGTCATCATATGAAACACTGCAAGTTTTTGTTAAATTTAGAACTTGTTTGGTATTACTATAGCCGTTATGGTTATGACTTGAAAAAAATTATTTTATAAAAAGTATTTTTAATTGAAATTGGTTTGAAAAAACAGGTGGCTGGTTAAAACTGTAATTGAAATTGAGGTTAAATAAAAAATAGTTTAATATGTTTGGTTAAGAATGTTTTTGAAATTAAAGTTATAAAATAATTTTAAAAAATATATATTTATATTGATTGTTTTTAATTTAAATATTGTAGATTTAACTATTGCTATTAAATCATGAAATAAATAATACTTTATATAAAATACTTTTTATTGTTCCATTAAATTATTCACAATTCCAATACGTATGAAATATATCCGACAAGGACTACATATTTCACATATTTCTTAAAAGAGCAATAACATTAGGTAAAATATAATCAAAAACAAAATTGAAATTGCAATCAAATTCTATAAATGCGGCATTATCAAGCGATCTTCGTCTAATTTATATAGTTATTGAATACTGTTTAGCACTAGTTTTTCGAATAAAATACAATTAAAAATAAAAAATATTTTTTTATTTTGTATGGTCGAACTTGGTTTAATGTATTTTTAACTTTGATAAACCTAGCCGACCTGAGTTTTATATTTAACTGGATGAAAATTAATCAATTAAACAGGTTAATTTATAAATCAATTAAAATCAGAATAAAACTTAATTTAATTTAAAAAATTAAATTAAAACTTTATATTTTAAATTAATTTGAGTTAATTCATCAAACTTTAATGTTGGGCTATAACTATAATAACAAGTTATGCAACTTTTGCATTAATTTTATTTTAATAAAAAATCATGTTTACATGGCATTATAAATAAAATTATGTTTATATTAAATATTACTGTTTATGCTAAATATGACATAGATGATAAAGATTTGTTATTAATTTATGATGTAGAATTATTTTTATTTTTTGGATATAATTATTTTATAAAATAATGATATAAGTAATAAAAATAAATAAATCTCTCATAATAATTAAAAAAAATACCAAGTATTTTGGACTTCCATGCGCTGGTTCAAGCCTACAGCAATAAAAGCATTGTGTTGTGTTAATTTTTAAACATGAACAGTGGAACATGCTCTTCATTTCATTACAAGAAGTAGCTCTTTGCTGTTTCTTATAATCTGTGGCTGAGTTATAGTTAATGGTGGAACCCATTATTAAAAAATTATGGTACATAACCAAATGATAAAAATTATATCAAATAAACAAGAAAACAAGCATTATCATATGAAACATTGCAAGTTTTTGTTAAATTTAAAACTTGTTTGGTATTGCCGTAGCTGTTGTAGTTGTGATTTGAAAAACATTATTATATAAAAAATACTTTTAGTTGAAATTGGTTTGAAAAAACAGGTGACTGGTTAAAACTGTAGTTGAAATTGAGGTTAAACAAAAAGTAGTTTAATGTGTTTGGTTAAGAATGTTTTTGAAATTAAGGTTATAAAATAATTTTAAAAAATATATATTTATATTGATGGTTTTTAATTTAAATATTGTAGATTTAACTATTGCTATTATATCATGAAATAAATAATACTTTATATAAAATACTTTTTATTGTTCCATTAAATTATCCACAATTCCAATACTTATGAAATATATCCGACAAGGATTACAGTTTTCACATATTTCTTAAAAGAGTAACATCATTAGGTAAAATATAATCAAGAACAAAATTGAGATTGCAATCAAATTCTGGAAATGCGGCATTATCAAGCAATCTCCGTCTAATTTATATAGTTATTGAATACTGTTTAACACTAGTTTTTTGAATAAAACACAATTAAAAATAAAAAATATTTTTTTTATTTTGTATGGTCGGACTTGGTTCAATGTATTTTTAGCTTTGATAAACCTAGCCGACCTGAGTTTTATATTAAACTGGATGAAAATTAATTTAATTAAAATTAATCAATTAAACAGGTTAATTTATAAATCAATTAAAATCAGAATAAAACTTAATTTAATTTAAAAAATTAAATTAAAACTTTATATTTTAAATTAATTTGAGTTAATTCATCAAACTTTAATGTTGGGCTATAACTATAATAACAAGTTATGTAACTTTTGCATTAATTTGTTTTTAATAAAAAATCATGTTTACATGGCATTATAAATAAAATCATGTTTATATTGAATATTACTGTTTATGCTAAATATGACATAAATGATAAAGATTTTTTATTAATTTATGATGTAGAATTATTTCTATTTTTTGGATATAATTTTTTTTATAAAATAATGATATAAGAAATAAAAACAAATAAATCTTACTCATAATAATTAAAAAAATACCAAGTATTTTGGACTTTCATGCGCTGGTTCAAGCCTACAGCAACAAAAACATTGTATTGTGTTAATTTTTAAACATGAATAGTTTAACATGCTCTTCATTCATTTTCTCATCATAAGAAGTAGCTTTTTGCGCTTCTTGTAACATGCGGTTGAGCTATAGTTAATGGTGAAACCTATTATTAAAAAACGGTGATACGAGCATAATCAAATGATAAAAATTATAGTTGCGGGTGAATTTTACCTGTAGTCACAGAACCAAACAACTATTTAATAAGTAATTATAATTACTTATTTTAAAATATATTAAAATAATATTTTTTTATTTTTAAAAAATTATTTTTAAAACAGTGTATGTATTGAAATGATTTAAAAAAATTAAAAAGTTATTTTTTAATAAAAAATATTAATTTTTTTTTAAAACGCGAGTTGACCAGGTTTCCCGAATCTCATATATATGGCCTGGATCCCTTAGTTGTTGTTTTGCTTTTTGGATAGCAGCAAATCCCCTTCAAGTATCGAAGTCAAAATCTGAACAAATATCGCTGAGGAGTCTGCAATAAGGGGTCAAATGAAATCAATAGAAACAAATCTTGAGTTTATTTGCTGATCAAATTAAGCCATTTCCACCCTTCGTCAATAAGATATTGTGTTTAATTAGTTTCTTGAGATAAAAGAGATATAATAGAAAAGACAAAACACAAAAATAAGACTTACATAAAATTGTATTTTGGTAGTAATGTATATGATAAAATAATTGTTTTTGTATTTTATTTAGTTACGATGGATAAGATATAATAAAATAAATTAAAATCTATTTAATTTTTAATATATATTGTTATCAAATTTATACGTGTAAAAAGAATTGAAATATAAATAATATTATAATAACTTTAATTATAAAATCAGAATAATATTCAAGACTTAAATTAGTTTGAATTAAAAAAATAAAAAAACAATTAACTGACTTAGTCAAAACTCTATATTAACTCGAAATGAAACACAAGTAAAACACCTGTTGATTTCTTTTAAAAAAAACAAAAATTTCAGGTCAACAAAAATTAACCTTCTTAACCCATAACTTAACCTTTTTTATAACTATAATAATAATAATAATAATAATTTATGTTTATATATTAATTCAAGTCTATTCATATTAATCCTCTCATTGATTGAGTTATATTTTAAAATTTTAATAATAATTATTTTTATTTTTAAATTTTTAAAATTAATTTTTTTTTTATAAAAGCATTGTAAAAATAAAAAATATTATCTTTAAAAACAAGTCTCATATGCCTCCAATTTTCAAAATATATAAATTCACTATAAAATTATCTTAAAATTTTTTCTTTTAAATCTCATTCTCTTTTACCACATCACGTGAGTTGTTGTTTCGGTACATGTCAATGTGTATTGTCACATATACAAGTGAATTTGCTGATCAACAGTTAATTGAGAAGTATGCAAGGAGAAATCCTCCCCATCCCAAACCGCTGGGCAGTTCAAAAAAAAAAAAAAAAGACACCTGGCAAATATGTAACCTTCATAAGATGATGCCAATGTTGTTACAACAAGATGTCATGAGATGGAAGCATTATTTATGGCTTCAACAACCGGCAGCGGAACTGGAAATGTTAACACTGATGGGAATTTTTCTTTTTATGGCTCAAATAAAACCACTAGAAGTTCATTGAGAATCAAGATGACCTGAAAGAAGAGCATCTGCAGCAGAATCCAGGTCTTGGGGAAAGAAAACCCTGCAAAACAACATATGTTTTACACAGAAAAAACTTTAAATCTAAAATAACTCTTGAAAGTAATTCGCCAGGCCCTGAAGTTCCATTAACCTGGCTGCATTTCACTATGTTCTAATTTTAATATTCCCAGAAAAAAGAATCGTCGATTAACCATGATAGGAAAATAGCAAAAGATCATCCCATGATTAGTTCCATCGCTTAGTGAGTGCTTTATTTGATGCCTGGATCAACAGCAGCGAATCCAGGAACTTCAGAAGGTGCTTACCTGCAGGTGTTGTGGTAAATGGTCCTGCTCATTTGTTCTATTTCAGTGATGCCTTTGCATCCAGCCACAACCTCAAGAACTTGCCTGGAAAATACACCAGTTTTGTTTCAAGAAACAGATGAAAAATAGTGAATCCAACTCAAAACCGTGAAGAAACTTTACTACCACAATTTTTTAATTGCTGTCCAGTATGAAACTTAGGTTGACTAGTATAAAAGTCACAATAAACAATCCTAACCTAAAGAAGCATGGATTTTTCATTTTTTTTAAAGGGCTACAGGTTTGAAGAAGAATGGGTAGCAGATTCCAGGATTTTCCCAAAATGCATCTGTGTGCACCATGGAAATACTTGTGTCAGCTGAGATTTCTGATCCAGAAGGATAATCTTTATATTGTCAGAGAATTCAGCTTATGTGTAAGCATCAGCCTTAAAGTAATTATAACTGATTTGAACTCAAGGCTGCAATAATATTTGAAAACAGTTTCCATAACTAAATTGCAAGCCTCCCATTCTAAAACACTCCGTCTATCCAACATATATAAACTCCATTATATAAATGTTAAGAAAAGGCTTCTAATCTTTAGAAACAAAAATATAAATATGAAATAATAATGTCGGATATGCCATTGAACAAAATGTTTCACTTACCGAACTAAACAAGGCTCATTGCGACCTTTGACAATGCAATCCTGCTCATGCTTCTCTTTCTTCTTAGAAGGCCAAGTAGATTTTACAAACTTAATCCCAGCATGACTATTCTTGATTTCACAATATGGAGAATCTGTTTCAATCATCATTTTCTCAACAGGGATACTGCTCACAACATCAAGATTCTCAGGAGTTTTCAGAGAGCAGCCATTTACACCTGTTGGTAGAATGCTAGTAAAGAACTATTCATGTAGTCATTGATAACTTGAAAACCAAACACCAAGAAATTCTAGCTAGTTAGTGACTAGGAAATAAGTAATAAATTCTCTTAAGCATTTAGTGCAGAACAGAAAACTTAACTTTTAGATATTGTTTATGAGACAACCTAGACAATGAATGCCTAAATTCCATCATGAGCATCTTTTTAATTTGGATAATTATAATATTAAATTGTATCTAAAGATTAAGAGTGGATGCCTAAGGAAAAAGAGAAGATAAATATTGCACCCAGGTTTTTGTCATATTTGTTCTCTGATGACCACTGAATCTATATAATCGATGTATGGTAAACCCAAACCAGCAAGTCATAACTCTACATCTTACATAAACAAACCCATCAGAATCTTTGCAACAAAAAAGGAGCATCCATCACATCTCTATCAGGTAATTCAAGCAAGCTCCATTATTCCACATCTCTGACCAATTTGTTTGAAGAGAAAGCCAAACAATCTCGACAAGATGCACTGCATCCCCTTTTCTAATTCACCAAACACCATCTATCTACTCAGACTACCTAATATTTTACTTGTGCTATTTATGCCTCCTTATCTTCTTAGCATGTGTGTTACTGCCAAAAATGATCAGTTTCAAAGAACATGGAAAAGTAATCATATTCCAGTCTTGAAAATCCTTTCGAATTCCAGTAACATTTTGGCCTCTGCAACCAATGTAAAAATTTCAAACCAGGAATTTCTAGGGCTTTGACTGCATCCTTAACTGCAATACCAATCCTGGTGAGGACACCAAACTCACACCACATATTACAAGAGCAATGAAAGGAGATGATAAAAGATGGCCTAGCTTGTCACTTTTTGGTTTGGGAGATTGAGCCCATCTAGGCCTATTTCATTGTTTTGTTTTATTTATTTGAGTTATTTATGTTAAATGGTTTCAATTAATGAGTCAAGCCCAGTAGTTGGATGTTTTAGGGTTATGCTATTTTTATTTTTATTTTTTTCATCTTATGATACGAATAACTATTCTAAATTCTCTCTTTTTCCTAGCTTTTCTTTCCTTTAATTATTGGCTTCTTTATTTCTCTCTACTTTTATTTCTTTTATCTATTGTCCTGCATCAACTTAAGTATCAGAGTCAAGTTCTTTTAATTGTTCTCACAATTAAATGATCTATGAGCTTGTTTAAATTCCTGACATTCAATTTAGCCAGTAAATTCTAGATTTTGTGAGAAGCTTTCATCAATAGTAAAAAAAAAAGTAGCAATCCATAAAATTTATTTCTTTTAGCCTTTCATTTACAACAGCAGATCTGAATATATATATATTGTTCATATTCAACACAAGCCCATTTATCCCTAAACCCACACCTACCAGCCATCACCCGAAGAGCACACTTCTTACACATCAGCCACAGCAGAATCAACCACATCACAAACTCGATCAGATCATCTTCAAATCAGAGCTGCACTTGACAGGGTTAAGTTTCTCCAACCATGAGAGAGATGGTGGAGACATCAGACCCACATCATCAATCACACGAGTATATAGACAAAGGCGACGAAGAATGGTCTGGCCTGTCACTTTTTGCTTGGGAGATTGAGGCCCATCCCATCTAGGCTTGTCACTCTTTGTTTTGTCTTATTTTGATTTAAGTTATTTATGTTAGACAATTTTAATTGAAAGGCCAAGCTTAATAGTTGGATGTTTTAGAATTATACTATTTATATGTTTCTTTTTCATCTCATGAGACAGTTTTTTATGAATTGAATATATATCACATATTATTCCTCCTCTAAATTCCTTCTCTTTGTAGCTTTTCTTTCTTTCCATGCTTTTTTCTTTTTTGTTATTGTCCCACATCAAATCCACCTAAAACCATTACAATCTTTACTTTCTTCCCCTAATAAGCAGCACTTTATACAAAATTTGCATTTACAAAGATAAATGCATCTACCACGAATTTAGCTTCTTAAGAAGATGGCTTATAAATTTATCTAGTGAAATAATTCCTCTCATGTCACTATGTCGAAGACTCAAGCACCAAAAAGAAAAATTTAATGAAAAGCCGGGTAACAGGAACTAGCAGATGCAAAAAGTGTATGCTCACCTATATACATATTATTAAATGAAAGAAGTTTTCCGCAATCTTCTGCACTACCAGTAAATGAATGAGTGACCCCGCCACTGAATCTGTAAATTACAATTTACTATGGAAATCAGTTCACTCCACATACATCAACCTGGACATATGCCACCAAAGGAAAACAGCTATAAATAAGTGAAATTTATTTATGTCCGAACCACATTTTACACTATGCCTTTCATTTTTCACTCAACGTCAACACATTTGGAACATGAAATGGTTTTCCCTGAAAAGCATATTCAAGTTGAACCATTAACATGCAAATGATTGGGTGGTCATTTTTTAGAACAATGGTTAATATTTATGGATATAATTGATGCAGAACCACATAATAAAGTTTTTCGGACTGCTTATTTTAGAAAGAAATATAGGGTTTAATTTTAATATTTAGTTTCCTCATGCTTCCTACTTTTATGAGGACCTTTTATTTTATTTGGGTACCTATAAATAAACACCCTAGACAGATACGGTTTAACATTTTCAGTCTGTATGGCAACTAAGAAACTCTAGAGAATATAAGAGAAACTAAACTGGTGATAAAAGGGAGGAAAAGAAGGGAAATCAAATTTCTTTTGTTTGGATTAAGAGAAGTGAGAGAAATGAAGTTTTCATTATATTGATGGAAAAGAAAGGAAAACAGTTTTTTAGAGGTTACAATGAGCAAAATTCTGTCAATTTTTTCATTTCCTGCACTATCCTCCCAATTTAGGCGAAAATTTTTAGTAAGTCAGAAAGTCTTATTTTCCCCTCTTTTCCCTTCCCTTCCTTTCTTTTCTATTGATAATTTTAGCATCCAAACAAAGGAAAGTGGCTTAAGTTCCTTTACATTATTCTCCTTTCAACTCCTTTCCCTCAAAACATATGCACTGTTTATTGATTGAAATAAAAAACCTAAATTTTTCTTCATGGTTGAGTGTTTCTCTCTTGTTTTAGTTATCCTTTGATTTGGTGATGTTGTTGTGGTTCTGCATCAATAATTTATGCAAAAGGCTACTGGGCAGCCTGAAAGAAAGGTCATAAAACAAAATTTGAGTGAAGCAAACTTTTAGACACCATCATCTGGTTCCTTCATCTACAAATAGAGCAAGCTAACCTTTCTTTGTTACGTTCTACAATTTCACAGAAATCTGCCGCAGCCGCACGCATATGTAGAAACATTGGTAGCTTTGTGGCATGTGCTAATTCAAACTGCTTCTCAAAGTACCTGCTTGTTGATATGGAATTATGGATAAATAAAGTGCCCACATGTAATAGGAGTAGATGAGAATGACACGCAACCATATAACGAGGAGCAAAGAAATCCACAAGGAACATTTTTGTCAGCAATGACTTACTTCTTTTGAATATCTGGTGGGCAAAAGTGAAGCCTGTCATAATCCAGTCCACACTCACCAATAGCCACCACCTTACATTCAACATCCAAGAAAAAAGTGCATCATAAAGAACACTACCAATGTAAGTAGAATAGTATTACAAACAAGTTTTGTAATGTGGAAAATCAATGACAAAATTAAGACTAGAGATCAAAGTAGCAGAAAGTTTTCAAATTAATAGTATCATTAGAATCACTCTCCAAGAACAAGAGGCTACATAATGACACAGGATAACTCTTCTATGTATAGAATTTTCCATCATATTTAAGTCAAGAATAAATAAGATTTGATGACTTGCTATTAATATCAACAATGAAAGACCAAATGCACAATTAACATGCAAAGTTTTTTATTTTTTTTAAATAGGCATCATTATCCAGATAATAATAAAATTCAGTGGATATGTGTTAGGATTATAGCATTTTGCATCACTCTCTTCTTAGAAAGAATTAAGTTAAAAAATTTTTTTTTTAAAAAAATCAGGCATCATTATTAGGAGAAGAACAAAATTCATTGGATAGGTGTTGGGATTGTAGGATTCTGCATCACTCTCTTCTTAGAAAGAATTAAGTTAAACGTTAATTTAATATCTTTTATGATATAATTATATTAATATTTCACATATTCTCAAATTTGTGATGCCTTATCATTGTCCTGTGAGGAAGACCAATAAAAGCATACCTTTCCTTTTTGCATTCCCTCTTTGGCCAATGACAAGAGAGCCTGAAAATGCTTTTCTGGATCCCCACTCTCTTCAAACTCCTGAATAGATTAAAAGAAAAGGAAAAAAAAAAAAGAGCACTGTCAGGAACAGGAACATCTCCAAGACTCCAACAAAATCACAGTTTATAGATAAATTTAGAACACATGAAATCACTACAAGTAACCAAACTTCAAGAATAGTAATCAACCTTACACCTTGTTGGGTGGACTCCAACCGTACAAAAAAGCCTTCCTGTGACAAACAACAAACTTTCAGATAAACAAAAACCAGAAACCCTTATAAATAAGCAAAAGCAACATGTATTGATAAGAAGATAACAATGGCAAGACCATCAGTCTCGGAAATGGCAAGAGCTTCCTTCGACTCCTCAAGGGACCCACCAGTCACCTATGAACACAAACACAGATCAATTAACATCATCTTAAAGCAAACTATTTCATTACATACTAAAGGTTTCTAGTAAAATTTTCCCGTTTTGTTTTTTAACCATTTTTTAACATTTGATAATCTAAAACAAGTCAAAACGCAGAAACGGCAACTTGATAATTAAAAACCAATAATATCAAAACTACTTCATTTAAGTTCTTAAAATTATCAAAAACGCATAAATAGAACTTCATTAGACCAATTAAGTTATTAAAATGATTAAAAGACCAAACATGGTAAGAGGGTAACGAAAAAGAGAGTGCCGGAGGCATACAATGATTCGATCTACACCAGCGTTCCAAGCCCTGCTCAACACATTGGCTATATCAGCTACATGGTACTGCTTCCCATTGTAGATCCCTTTGAACATTCCATCTGCACGGCATTTTACACACGCACTGTTCAGTTTAAGAAGAAGAGAATAAGAGAGAGTGGAATTAAGAAATATGTTAACAATGTGTTTGATGAAATGTCTGACTGACCTGTGAAGTTCACAGCTATATCTGCTTCAGAGAAAACAACAAAAGAACACAGGGAAAAAAAAACGGGGAATGAATTGAGTAAAATCAGGTTTTTCGACAGTGGAGATAAAAGAAAAGAAAAGAAAAGAGAGTGAATTATAGTTAGTATCACTCGCCTATCATTCGTATGGTTGCCATTGCTATTCAGATACTGAACTTCCTGTTTGGTATGTAACTGTAACTGTCAAATAGACCGCTTGTTATTCAATTGATAAATAAATAATAACAGTGATATTTATAGTAATTTTTTTTAATTTTCTGGAATATACAGACATACTATATTTGTCGGTAACCCCATTAATAATATATATATATATATATATATAAATATAAAATAATTAAAAAATAAAAAATAAAATAATATAAAATTCAAATATTTATTATAAATTCAAACATTCATGAGTTCAAATACAATTAATTTATAATAAAAACACTAGAGGAGATGGGTCTTCACCTAGACTGTGGGACAAGTAAGAGGGAGTCCATGTATCACTCATCTATAATATCATTTTCATTATCAATCGGTAGAGTATGATCATCTCATCACTAAGTCGTTCATATGGGCTATTTGATCTTTAACTTATTGGTTTAAAATCGCCTAAAACTCCAGAGTTTGAATACTTGAAATGGATTGCGAGCATCCAACTATTAAAACACTACGGACGATCGGTAAGAACTCGGTTGTGGTGTTAGAGAAACTGTACACCTGATTTCTAACGAGTCCACTAAATGATCCTACCTCCAACCACAAATCTAAATCAAGATTTGGATGGGTCGAAAGATCATCATCGTATCTTTCCTTCAACTCAATGTTATATGCATCTTGAAAAAAAAAGTCCACAAATTCAAAAATATAATAACTTAAAAAAAATGATTGAAAATAACATACCACAAAGTGTTGAATTCAGCTATCTATGAGTTGTTATACCTTTTTTTATTGGTCATCAATCCATACATGTATTTCCACAAAAAGCTCCATTAAGCTTAGTTCGTGTCTAATAACCGTAGATTGCAATAGAAAATTGTTATTAGTTAAATATATTTATAAAAAAATTAAAAAATTAGATTTAATTAAAAAAATCTTATCATCTGCTTCATATATGAAACAAAAGATAATAGAAATTGCTGGTGTGCGTGATAACAGAATCATAAACACACTGTTTCTGGTTCTTTACACTAGAGTATGATTATCACACGGAACAATTGGACGTCACATGCTGAATATATTTCACCCACATGGCCTTTGAGACATATGAAAGTCTACAATCCTTCCAAACTATAATTTCTTTCTAGCCTGGAAGCTCTCTTTCTTTTGTATATTTTTTTGTTTTTTTTTGTTTTTGTGCATTGTTCCAAAAATCACTCTTTCTTTTGTATATTTTTTTGTTTTTGTGCATTGTTTCAAAAATTACATAACCTATATCATACAAATAAATTATCTATTAGTAAATAAATAATAAAATTGAATAAAAGGATTAAAATTTTTTATCTTCATTTCAATCCTACCTAGTTGCAATGTGATTATTCCAAACCATCTTTGCAATAGCATTTGCCAACTCTATCTCATTCAAAATTTTCCTTATAGTTAAAATTTGTACAAGAAAAATTTCATTAATAAGTTAATAAACTAGCCGAATTAACATAATAAAAAAATATTTAAGTTAATATTAACCTTAAACCTTTTAAATAATGCATCAATCACAGGTTTCTATTTAGTATATTTGAAAACCTAACTCCATGAAACAATGAAATTTTCATTGATGATTTCATCATCATTGTTATGATTTTGACAACTTTCATGTTTGTATACCTGAAATTGTATTTATTAATTAAAATAAAATTTTCAAAAATTATTAGCATGTGAATGTGAAAGGAAAAAAAACTTACATTGAAATGTCGTTCTTCTACTGATCCTAATACTTCCAGTTAAATGGATCCTATTATGAAGTGACCCCCCTTAACATGGTGGCATCGTATTTGATGAGACTGTATCGTGAGTGAATACCTTTGTATTAGGTACCTATTTTTAGCCAGCACCTGACAACTCTAAATTGTCAAAAGCATTGCTAGAAAAACTAACAGCTATCATATATGCACAATGTGTTATTGACTTTTATCTAGGCATCTACATAAATTAAAGGATTAAGGTATTGTAAACCATTTCTATTTAAAAAAACAATTGGCAGTGCCTCCTCTGTATGAGAGACTACTTAAAATTTCTAAGCAACAAATACACAATAATTTAAATTAGATTGCCACAAGCTAGTTAATTTTATTTCAATTTATGTTAATCAAATAATTTCAATTATGTTAATTAACCAAATTTTCAATTAACTTTGCTACGACTATTTACGAAATGATCATATGAGGTTAATATAAACTGAGGTTAATATAAACATATGAAAGGATATCTAGTATCAATATTTCACAATAAAAACTATTCAATTATCCTAGCTATTTTAAAATTTATTTATTTATGTTGACAAATATTTATTATTATTATTTTTAAATACTTTTTATTTTTCATGAAATTGAAAATCATTTGTTAACACCAACAAATCAATTAGTTAACCATATTAATAAGAGAAAATTAAAAAAATTTCAACAATCTATATAAAATCATCAAAACAATCCCACCAATATATATACAATCATTATAGAATAGAACAATTAAAAACATTTCAAAAATATATATAAAATCATTTAAGAAAATTTTTTAAATAATATTTATACAATTATTAATAATAGAAAAAACAAAAAAAATTAAAAATCACCATCAATATTTATGCAATTATTTATATTAGAAAGATTTAAGAAAAATAAACAAAATTGCCATCAACAATTATACAATTATTTATAATAGAAAAATTATAAAAAAATTCCATTACTAGTTATACAATTATTAATAAATGAAAAATAAAAAAATAGAAAAAAATCTCTTTAACATTTATACAATTATTAATAATAGAAAAATATAAAAAATGAAGGAAAAAACACACAAAAAGAGAAGGAAAATGAATAGTCTTTCCTTAATGTTGAGTTTTCCTGAGCTTGAAAAGAGAAAAAAAAAATCAAAACAAATTATTAAATAAATAGAGAAAAATAAAAAAGGAGAATCCATACATGAGGATAAAAAGAATAAGAGAATAGAAAATAATAGGTTAGGGATAAAAAGAGAGAGAAGGGACGATGACAATCTAGGATGAGAGAAGAAGAGAAATGTGCCTATTTGTTATGATTTTAAAAATTCTGATCTTTTAATTTGGGTTTTTTTCCTGATGGTTTTACTAATAAATAATAGAATAATATTTTTTTTAATTTTTTGATTGGTGTGTCTGTCTTTAAAGTCTAATTGAGATTTTTAATTTAATAATTTTTTTTTAGAAATCTGCCAACTATCACTAACTACTTTTTTTTGTTTGTCAATGATTTTGTATGTATTGATCAGTAATAAATAGCATAGGTGAGAAGTAAACGGTACCTTAGTTTTCTAGAAAATACCGATGTATATTAGCCATTAGTGATTTCACATATATTGAAAAATAATAAAATAGTATAAGTGAGAAGTGAATAATACATTAGTTCTTAAAAAAATACAAGCATACATTAACCATCGATGATTTTGTATATACTAAACAGTAACAAATAATGCAAGTGAGTAGTGAACAACAACTTAGCTCTTAGAAAAATACCGACGGACATTAACTTTCAATGATCTCATATGTATTCAACATAATGAACAGTGCCAGTATGAAGGGAACATTTCTAATGCCCCATGAAATATATTGACGGATTTAATCCGTCATTGTATCTGTTTGTATTTTATAATTTTATTGGTGTTTTCATCAATGCAAAACAATTTCTGTTATCAGATTGTATATGTATTCCTTATGTATCTATCATACAAATACATAAAATCACAACAACACACACAATACAATAATACAAGTTTTGTGTTTAATAATAAAATCATATAAAATAAATGTTTTATTGTAATTTAATAATTAATAAACATCATTATCATTTCATTAAAGATAATTTCATTCAGAAATATTGCATTACAGTTCATGGCATTACACATTCGTGTTGTGCAAATTAATCAAAATTATCTTCTTTTTCAATTTCATCATTATCATATCCATCACAATCTTCTACATTGATTTTATCACTATTATCATCTTCATTAATTAACTTGCGTATGCCCACTATTCTTAAAATATCATTTAACTTCTCAATATCAATATTAACAAAAGTATTCTTGGCTACGTGAAAATTTGAGTTTCTTTTAAGTCTTTAAACGAAGCAAGTTGATATAGATCAACTAATTCATCAAGTTAAAAAACATTATCTCTCATGGTTAATTTATCATTTTCATCCTGAACAACCTGAATACGACCTCTAGGTTTGATTTTTAATACGAATAACTAATAAGCTCTTGAATGATCATTTTTAAAGTAAAGAAAGGATTGTATATGTAATAAACTTGTTGGCATAACTTGGCGAAAACAAAGACATCCTTTCAGGTAAAATGATTTTCACTCATTCGATAATTGTGTTGTAATAGGCCTTACTCAACTCATAATTTGACTTGATGGTTAATACATGTGTGATGACCCATAATTTACTATGATTTGTGCACTCATTTTATAATGGTTCGTTAAAGTCTTTCAAAAAGATAATAAAAAAAAAAATTGGTTGCGTCTACATTAAGTCCTTCATCAAATATTAAACATTAACCGGTTTAACCTCGATTCATTCCTATCGCATCCATAACCATATTTTTATAAAGATTATTATTGTCATATATGGTTTCATGCACGTTACTAAAACTAAAAGTTGACCTAACCACCCTTTTTATCATGATCCCATGAGGAACATATGATTCTTTGTGTGCCAACCAATATAGGCATCTCTTTTTAAACTTTTATTTTTATTGAGGATGTATCGTTACAACATTTAGATTAAGAAACTTTTTATTTTTACACCTCTTACATAGAAATCTAATACCGCCTTTACTAATATCTCTCGAGTTATATAATGCATAATTAATAAAATCCTGAACCCTATTATAATAATTCATCCTATGCAACCCTTCGGATGAATCTCGATGCATCCATGAATGATCATTCATTGCTTACGTTAAACCTATATCGAATATTAATGACAACATGTAATAATTACATAAACTA